AATTTTATTTTTAATTATTTATAAGAATTCCGTCGATGACAACAGATTTTTTTCCGCTTCAGATTGCTGTCTGTAATAATTTTTGGAAATCCGTATGCTACAAACTGTACATTCGTTGTTTCAAATTCAGACGGAAGCAATGTCCGTTTTGTATTTCTTTTTTTAAGTTTTCCAACTTCTTTCGGCATTTTATTATCGATTTCCTTTCTAAAATATAAAAAGCGTGATAATATTTGTTTTATCCAACATCGTTCGTTTTTAAAAATACGTTACTTGTAAACGAAGTTGATTTCTATTGATAAAAATCGATTTCAAACTCTCTCTATAAAATTTTCAAAAATATTTTTAATTCTATGCTTGTTCTCGAATTAGGTATAGACGAAAGTGCATCGATAGAAATTATTCTGGACAAGGTAAGAAAAATCATGATGTTAAGAGTTAACTCTCTGTAACCCAAGTTTGGTTATAAGAGAAAATGACTGATGATTTAATTAATTCCAATTAAAATTCTGACAACTAACCATCGTTATAAATAATTCTTTGTTTCAAAATACATAAAATAAAATTTTCAAAATATAAATATATGGATTCAAGTTACACGATGTTATAGAGGATTAACATTTATTTGTAATAAAACAAACGTCAGTTCCAGAGTACCGTAAGAGTAAACCTCTCCAATTATTTTAAATATCAAAAAATGCTTCTAACCCGGTATTCTGCACACGTGAAACGTGAAAATGATTTGACAAAAATTTCGTTGTATTTCTTCGAACTGAGCAAAGTAACATAAATAGCTAAAAATTCATTCGAAATAAAGCGAAAATCATTTCCATTATTTCTTAACTTTGCCGATTATTCGAATTTCTATGGTTAAGAAATTTAAGAAAGAGCAAACAAAAATATTTTTCTCGTTTTCTTCAAACCAACGCAATGATGCATTCGCAAACCAGTGCACAGTCTACTCATAAATCGCAGTACGTATGCGCATACTAAAATCTTGGATTTAAAAACGTGCGATCGTTTGCTGGTGTATCGCAACGTCGGTGAAGAGGAACTACGTCAGAAGGGAATATTTCCGGCAGATTGGAATATCGGAGTTTCCCGGACACGCGGAAAACAATCTTGCATGATCCGTCACCCTCATAGAGGTTCTAGAAGCAAATCGTTGCGTTCGGCTGGTAGTTAGGGGCTGCCCGTAATACAGTAATGAGGGCTTACTGCCATGGAAACCAAAGCCGCTTACAGCCAACCACTCTACTCTCAACCACCCCCTTGCCACCCCTTTTTGTCTCTCTCTCTCTCTCTCTCTCTCTCTCTCTCGCTCACTCTATCGCTCTGGACCGTGCTATTCTCTCATTTCCTATATATCCGCGATATCCTTCTCATCCGACGAGTTTCGCGAAAAAATTGTGAAAACCGTTCAACGGACCTCCATTGTTTCTCGACGTTGGTTCGCTCATTTTTTTCCCCAGCACACACCGGGGAAAAGAAAATCGAGAGAGAAGCGGTAAGAGGTCTCATCTTTTACCGGTGAATGTCGGCGTAAGGTTCTTCCTTTTTTTTTTTTTTTTTTTTTTTGGAGAAAAGCGAAATTTAGATTGTGTTTTAGATCGTGCGTGAATTTTCGTTGAGTGGGGTTGATACAACCCTGGTTTGATTCGTTAAAGATCACTAATTCGGCTACGGATATTTCGAAATGCACGTGAATGTTTGTAATGAGACATACGAAATGTTTTTTCGATTTAATTTAGTAGATAGAATAATTTTATTGAAGTACTACTCTTTGTTAGATTTTCGCAAACATGAATTTCGCATAAAGATCTGCAAATCCCATTATTATGTTAAATAGAGTATATGATTAAATAATATTATTGTATAAAAATCAATGACTAAAAGTTCAAAGAATTATGTAGATAATAAGAGGATATTTTAAATGAATAAAAGATTATAGAATAGATAAGTACTTTATAAGAAAAAAAGGAGATCTGAAATTTAATAGAAAGTAAAATATATTTGAGATATATACACTCTTTTCTCAAACTACCTTTGATTATTTTAAGAGGCACTCAAATTGTTAGTAACTAGTTTCCAAATTATCATATTCAAAATTCATTCCTCGAATTGTCATATTCAAATCTGTTCCTCGATTAACTTTAAAATCATTCTTTGTGAATCTTTGAAATAATTAAAAAAAACGAATAAGATACAGTACACTCAAAATGATAAAATACAACATCTTTTCCAAATATCTTCAAAATATCTTCCGGCCAGTTAACTTCATAGTTGTCTTTGTAAATTTCTAAAATAAGGGGAAACCACTTTCCATAAAAACTCCATCCCGCGCGACGTTTCACACCCCGTCACCGAGGGGCATCAAATCAGAGAACAACTTGATCGTGCTGAAAGTGGCATCCAGCCCTCGATCTTTCGTCTCTCCCTTCGTGAGATGGAAATATTTTCAAATTTACGTGCTCCGCTTGCCGATATCTGCAAAATGTTGACGATTCCCAACAAACGGGAGTGATTCGTAAAAGAAAGGGCGGGAAAAAAAAAACAGAGAAAAGAAAAAATACGAGCTGACACATTTAAACCGCCGTTTAAAGGACGAATCGCCGATGTGTGCGTGTCACGTTTTAACCGGAAGAAGGTCGATATTGCGCCAGACGCCGCAATTTCCTTTTCCAATTTGCCATAAACAAGTCGACCGGCCCCCCTCGTTAACCTACGCTCGTCACTGCTCTCTTGAAAGTTGCTCTCGCGAAGAAAGAAAAAGACGTCGAGGAAGAAGAAGAAGGAGGAGGAGAAGAGGAGGGGCGAGTCGTTGCAAGTCGGTCGAATTAAAGGAATTAAAGGACGCCTCGTTACTCGTATCTTTCGATCCTCGCCACCCTCTTGATCAAAAGGGGGAAGTAGAAAAAAAAAAAGAAAAAGAAAAGAGAAAACGGGCCAGTTCTCCGAAGGGAGAACGATAGAACGCTGGATGAGCAAGTCCTTCGTTGGCTCGGTCCGTGAATCGCGAGCGGAACAGTTTGTATTAAGAGCTCATAATGACGGTGATTATTAGGGTGCATTATTCAACCCCCGACCTATGGGCCCCTGATCTTCCTTTCCTCTTCTCTTTTTTTTTTTTTTTTTTTTTTTATTTACGGCTTACGATAAGTAGAAATAATAATTTGAATTCATATGTCAATATAATAATTTGAATAGTGATGGAAGTTATATAATGAATACATACATGATGGAAATTGTACAATGAATATCACTGCTAACAAGTATTACGAATATCCATTAATTTATATGATGGAAATTACATAATGAATTATATAATGATTACTGCTAAATATTATGAATACCTACTAATTCCTGCAATTTATAAGTACATCGATAATGTAAATATTAATTTATGGTTCTAATTTATTCGCCCCTCCTGTGATAATGAAAATTGTTGAATATCCTTTCCTTTCATAATTTCTTTACACTATATAATTGACGTGCTTATCGTGCGATGTTAATTTAATATTAATTAAATATAATTTATTTTAATTTAACGCGTAAAGATGTTTCAATGAAAAGAATGTGTCAATATGCTTTTAATTTACATCGTGTAATATTGTTGTTACAGTCACATCTTTTCATTAAAAAAAAAAAAAAATGATCTCAAACTTGTATGTTCATAATAACGGTGATTATTATTCAACTCTAACTATGATCCCCTCCAATTTTCATTCTTATATATTATATATATCCCTCTTTCTTCAGTTTGTCGGACGAACAGCTGAATTATTAAGTCGCGGGAGACGGGAATTAAAAAATCCGCGCGACGACGACCGGCCGAGATATCGGTAGTCGCGTCAGGAACGACGACACAGTGTTTGCCGGTTGAATTAAAAATGAGGATGGAACGAAGGGGGGCCAGCTGGCACAGCTCGCCTCGCGTCCGAGGAAAAACGAGGCCATCAGTCGGCCCACCACCTTAATGTACCGACTACTGAATGATTTAAGACGCCACCCTAGCGAAGACGATTTCGCCCAGCGAAGGATCCGCTACGGTTGATCGAATTTTTTCAATCGCTCTTCCCGTGGCCCCCGCTTAATTGTCTGCTCGCCTGAAGACCACTCGACGCGCGAGGGATTCTCGATGGGAGTCGGAGGAATTGAGAGCCGATGGTTAGATCTCGAAAAATTTCTTCTTTCCATATGTCTCTTTTCCATATGTTTTTGTCTACTATAATTTTGCTTCTTTGGCGTTATGGTGAAAGTATTCGAACATTTGTTGGAATCTTTTGCAAATATATCGCGGTCTGTTTTATTTAAATTTATTTTGGAATTTCAAGACGTTCGATGATGATCGTTTTATAATGTTCTTGAATACTTTATTCTCAACTATGGTTCTTCTTCCTCGTTATTATGGGTGTTCATAGAAGTTCGTGAAATATTTACAGAAGGAAAGTATTTTACGAATGTATTATTTTATTAACATTAACATAATAAGACACGACTGATCGAGTTTAGAAAAGAACTAAAAATATATGTAGAAATTCCAAGATATTTTTATTTTTTGACTGTAATAAATTCAATAAATACTTTGCGACTTTTACATACGTTTTCAGATTTGGTTTCAAAATTTTTTATAGCTACATCTCATTATGATATCAATGATATTTCAAAGTATTTTATATAAAACACTTATACATAAAAATCCTTTTATAATAAATGTTCAAATACTTTCGCTAACTCCATATATTGAAATTTATGGAAAATTATACATACTACTCATATAAAATTTAGTTCAACATTTGCGATATTCATAATGTCTATTTAAGATAAGTGATATAACAACAGTAGTAATATCTTTCCATAATAAGTAATAAAAATAATTAAAAAACTCTTCTGAAAAGATATAATTCTTCTGAGAAGTCTCGACGGGGTTACGATGCGATGAAAATATTCGTTGAAACGAATAAAGAAACTATAAATAATGAAATATAAAAGTATCTTACCTCTGCCACTTCTCCCGACGAACCTGAGATCATTGAATTTCGCCACCTGGTTCTTCATAACCGCCGTGGAATTTCGCAATTCCGCGCAGCAATTTTCATCGTTTCCGGCACGCACTGTCACCAGAGTTCCATCACCGACCTCGCCCAGGGCTACCACTTTGAACGCTACCGGAAGTGTCTTGTTTGACCGCCAATGTGCTGGTAGCACCGTACAGACCACGTGCGGGGAGCCTGTTGCCAATTACCGATCAATAAATCGAATTGTAATTAATTGTAATTTATGGAATTAATATAGAGAATTCTTTTGTCACTTTATAAGTCTAACTCTCTTAGGAATTGGATATGAGGAACGTCAAAGTTAAAAAAATAATTGTTGAATTATTATTTCGCCGATAATAGATCTGTGATGTTAAAATGCAATGAAACAAAATTTCAGAAATTTACTTTTTAAGCAAAAATTATTCAATTTTGTTATATTAACAAATATACGTGTAATCATTAGATTTTTCGACAGCAACCTACTAAATGAAATAAAATAAAATCCAGCAGAGAAGAATTGTCAAATCTCCTCAGAAATAAAATTAAAAGTACTGTGCTTTCGAACCTCAGGGTTTTAAAACTTAAACTTAATTAATTAATTAGGCCTCAAAAATAAATTACTAGTGTCAAATAAAATTTTTAAAACTACTAAAATCTAATAGATCTAAGAATTATCAACTCTTCTAAAAAAAAAAGAAAAAAAAAATTAAGAAAACTACAAACATCAGAGTCCTAAAAATTGCCTAAATGTTAACCACAATCTTAACAATAAACTACCACGCGAAAAAGCAAAAGATTAAGAATTCTACACTTTCATTAATTCGATAGAATCGAATTGAAAGCATTTCTAGATACGAATCACTCGTTTCTTACCTGTTCGCACAAGTTCACCAGGATGTTCGGCAAACAAGCCATCCAAGGTCCTCTCGGCTAGCAGATCAGCGGTGAGCGCATAATCCGGTATATTATTTCCGCCAGTGGATCCTTGTGGTGGGACCTCGTTGGCCAGGTGCATTCTTCTTCTCGACGACGAGGTCCTGGTTCTCCTAATTCTCGCGCCAGCAAGCTGATGTGTCGAGTTCTCCTGATTCTCCTGATGACCGTTTCGCACTAATCTCGGATCCGGATAGTCTAAGCCTAGAGGCCGATCCTCGGGGCGCGCATCTCGTAAAGGATTCGTCATGAGAACAGGTTCATTGGACTCTCTATCGGAAAGATCCTCCTCGCCGACGAACCTCGATGAATTCGACTCAATTTTTTTCAACTCGATCGCCCCACCCTTCCTTTACTATATTAATCTCCATCCATCGGGCGCTCGATAATAAATCGAATCTTTCTGTCTGTATTATCTTTGTCTTTTACAGTGATGTTCGATGTTGTATCCAGTTGTTAATGGCCAGTGTATCCAACGATTTTCTATCTAGCGTATTCGATAATATTCAACGATACATTAATTAAAATATGATTTCCAATGATATTCAATGTATCCAATGATATTCAATGTACTCAATGATATCTAATGTATTCAATGATATTTAACGTATCCAATGAAATATCCAAAATGATAATTAAAGTATCCAACGACACTTGATGTGTCCAATGATGTCCAATATATCGAATGACATATCAAAGTATTCAATGATACCCGACCTTTCTTTTATTAATCTGCATTCATCACACGTTTGATGAAATATCGTGTTCAATGATACATCCAACAACAGTCAAAATATCCAACAATATCCAACCCTTTCTATACTAATTGCTTCACGTACTCGATGAAATGTCGAATTTCCTCTGTCTTCCTTATACTATATCTTTCACAAATTAAAAGTCGTCGTTAAAAAACGTCGAGTGCGTCGAATAATGTTCAATACATCCAGTGAATATATTAACAGTAACCAATCGTGATCGAGATTCAACGTATCCAATGATAATTCGGCTCTCTGACAAGACCAGATTAATAGAGTAGACGAGAATGACGATGATTATTCCAGCAACAGCTGGTTAAAGAGGGATTTCCGGTTGCCTCGGCGGCACGCGCGCAACTTGGCCGGCCCCGCGTGGCCCGCGACCCTTTGATCCTTATTTCATTATCCCGCGACGGGGCCGAAATAAGAGCATCCGTTTGCAAATTCTTCCTCTGCGTCTCGATTGCCAACTCGCGGAGAAAATTCGTTTTATTGGAATCCCGTCGTCGGCCCCTCGACGTTTTCTCCTCCGTTTTCTTTGATCGAGATGCGCCCCGCTCGTCGATTCGACGGAAGCCACTCGTCGAAAACTATAAAACCCCCGGGGCTACCCTAACTGTTACTCGCGTCTCCGTGGAATTAATAACGACGGCTCGGTGATAACGACACCACGCACACGGTTAAAAATCTGGCCTCCCAGTGTCCCCGCGGTCGATCGAAATTTACCCCCACGTTTCTGTCACATCAGCACTTCTGCCCGACTATCTAACAGGTGTTAACTCTGCAGCCGAGATCCTCCCAGCCAGACCGCGGCACAAACCTCACGTTCGCACATTATTCTCGCCGTTCTGATTCTGATCTTCCTGGAGATACCGGATTTTATTATTAAGATGGATGTGATTCAACGTGAACCACTTTTCTCAAGGTTTCAAAGGGACTCGAGCACTCGTTTCGCGTGGGTTTTTACTAGTGATTAGAGGCTCCAGCGTTCGAAGATCGAGTGAGAATCAAATCAGTCATCTCGATCATTTCATCTTTACTCGAGACGAAGTTTCATGAAATTTTCGATCACTTCGTCTATGTTTAAGATTGAGGATTCAATGATCTATTTTTCGACGATTCACAAAGGTCCACTCTTGTCAAGAATTAAACGAGTATTAAATCAATCACCACACAACGCGCTTTTCCCAACAGTGATTGTTACGAGTGAAAAATGGGTCCAAAGTAAGTTTCTTTTTTCCCATATATCCTTTCCTTCGTCTCAGTGACAACTTTCGGCGATCAATCCTTTTCTCGTCGAATTTTCCCGATTTTCTCGGGAAACGTAGTAGTTCGAAGGAGAATTGTAAATTAAAGTAGATAAACTGTGAAGTACAACGGCAGAAAAGAAGATATGCAAAAATGCTTCCTCGTGTCAATCGATCAATCCTTCCCGTCACCGTGTCTTGTCACGTTCTTCCAACTTCTTCGAAAATCTCCCCGATACTTCTTTTTCTTTAAATTTCCCTCGGTGATAAGAGACGGAACGTGGGGATATTTCTTCTTCACTCTTGATTCCTTCGTCGAAGATACAGTGACACGACAAATAAAAATCACAAGTGTCGCCGAGATACTTTCCCGTAACTGTCAATCGATCAATCCTTTTGCTCTTCTTCGAAGCAAACGTTACAACGGTCACAAGTATACTTCCGCAACTGTCAAATCGATCAATCGCCCCTTACTCCGAAGACTACTTCGAAGAACCAAAGAACTCGCGGTTCGAGGACTCCAAACTCTTTCGTTTCGGTGCTTCAGTTCTTTCAAAAAACGTAACGACACAACGAGGCAAGAGCGAAATATATTTCACAAAATCGATGGTACCAAGATAATTTCCCCCCCGTGACTATCGATCAATCCCTCCTTGCTCTCAGTTCTTCCTTACTACACTCGCGCGACAGGTTTGCAGTTTGGCGCGGCACGATTTGGTGAAATCGTAAATTCCGCTGGTTTCGTCGGTTGTCAGCGGTTGTCCGGGCACGGTACCAGAAGGCGAGAGACACTTCTTCGTGGCTGGTACTTCGGCGGGTGGCAGCGGCAACTTCCACGGGGAAGTAGGATAGGGTGTTTAACTCGCGCGGTCTCGTTTCGGTTCGGCGGTGGAAGATGGCGGCTTCTGCGGTGGAGCCGCGCGGTGTGGTTGCGGTGTATTTTTGAGGCTGCCGCCCCCAGCCACCACCGAGACCACCCTGGCTAACCTACCCCTCCGTGCCTCTCTTCCACGCCGCCGCCACCGCCGCCTGGCCGTACTAAGCGACTGGTGGGGGTTGGTTTTTCCAAGCGGTGGGGAAAAATCTCTCTCTCCTGCTGTGCACCCTCTTCCACGATCCTGATGCTGTACTCCTGCTGATCGCCGCGAACCGATGACAACACCCGTTGCCTCTCTTTTTCCCACCGCCACGTCCCCGCTGTTCGGCCAAAGTTTGTCACCAGTTCCAACAGAATCGCCGAGGAATGCCTTTTACCCCTCGAAGAATTCCACCTCCACGTCCTCCGGGCACAATGGAATTTCTTTCGCTTCTCCGCCACCGACGGAGGCTTGCTGATGACACTTGAACCTAGTTCATCGCGAAATCGGCGCGCGATGATTAGTCACGAGGTCATGTTCGGCCGAAGCTTCGTCTGTTTCCGCGTGTCTCGAGTTACCGGATTCATTGAGACGCTGGAGGACTCCGGTTGAGAGGGTTGATCTGTCGGACTGGCGAAACGATTCATCGTCGCGGGATGTTTAGGTACGTGGTGTCATTTCCGCGGCTTGATTGTTCGGAACACCGGAGCAGCGACGAGTTACAGTTCCTTATTTGCGGCTCGACGTATATATCGTCCAATCAATTCACTTTCCGATGCTTGTATTCTTGAGTAGTTGTAAGCAGACTGCGAATTTGGAAAATTTAAGGATGCGCGAGTGCAGAGAATGCACGCAACATGCAAAAACATAACGAAATAAGTAAGGCGCTTGTTAATTTGATTCTTCAAAGTATAAAATTGCATAAGAATCCACAGTCTAGTTGTAATCAAAGAATGAAACTTCCAAGTACTTTTCTGCAGAACTGCAGAACTGCTAACTTATGCTCCATTACCCGCCCACGGGGCAATTAACACTCTAACGTCGTCTGATTTTCAATTTTAACTTTAGTAATTGACGACGCCACGTTGTCATGTGATTTTCAATTTCAGCTTTAACAACTGATGGCGTGACTGTGGCGTCATACTACTTTCGATGTTAATAACCAATGACGTGACTAGAGCGTCATATAATCTTCAACTTCAATAACTAATGACGTGATTCTCAATGTTAATAACTAACGACGCATGATCATTGTGGCATCATGTAACTATCAATGCCAATGATCAATGATGTGACTGTAGTGTCGCGTAATCCTCAGCGATCGTAAATTGTTAAAAGAAACTCGACAACACCCTTGATTAGGCAAGTTACATTTGACATTCTGCAACATATCTTTGAATATCTTTTATTCCGAAGGGTTCGGAAACCACTTGCAATCAGTGTAAGAACGCTGTTTTAAAAAAATGACTTGTGCCGTACAAACATACTTTTTCAAAACAATAACGTTATGATATCGTTACAGTGATCGTTATTTTGCATATTACAAGCATCCTGTAAATTTCTAAACACTTAGATGTCTCGCAACAAAAGTGCACGCAACGTTCACAGTCTAGTTGCAAGATTACCTCAAAAAAATCAAATGCAACACTTATATATTTTTATCTTCGTTCAAAGTTCAAATACACGCGCGTACGTACGTAGTAACTGATCGTAGTGACTCACTCGCGGTTATTTGGTTATCAAAGTCTTAAACCATGTTCACTGAACGTTGACACCGAAACACCGCACGACTCGCCAGCGTGGTTTCCAAACGTCGAGAAGGAAGAGCGAAAAATAAAAGGAACCCATCCTGTAATTAGTGCGCGGGGTCGGTTGGATTGTTTCCACGTTGCGGTCGACCGGTACACCGATAACGAGGTCGCCTCTTGGCTTCCTTCGAACTTCGCCTCCGCGCGTTCGATTGTCTTTTCTTTTCGCTTCCTTCGGCCGAGCCTTTCCTGCTTCCGTCGTTCAACGACCTCCCCGCGCGAGACTGCAAAACGACACTGGGAAGAAAGGGAAAACAAAGACGGCAGAAAGGTCCCTCGTGTAGTTGCGTTTAGCACCGGAGGAATATACCGGGGGTTGCGCGACGCTTGGGGGCTCTTCGAGGGTGCAACGCGAGCGACGAGGACAGCGGGGAAGGTCGAACGAGAGATAAAGAACGGGATACTTTGTCTTAATGTAGCCGTCATACGTGTACCGACGACCGTTTTGCAAAAGGATCTTTGCCGGCGAATCTCCGCAGATTGCGAGGGTGGAGTCTTCGAGTGGTCGCAATTATCGTTATTGCGACGCGAGAGCAGAGCGATGGGGTTCGAGAGAAAATTTAGGAATTAATAAAGAAGATTGAGAGAGAGAGAGAGAGAGAGAGAGAGAGAAGTGGAAATTTAGTCTTGTGAGAAATAAATTGAGTAACTCGCGTATACACTGAGTATGTGTTACGAAGAAGAATATTTTTCTATTTTTCTAATCAGTTGATAATTTGAAAGAAATCTACAGATCAAATTTAATAAATGATTCATCTATTTGTTTTAAAAATATAAGACGAAAGATGTTCTGAAATGATAACTTTCGATAACGAGAAGTTTAAAAACTCGCGACGAATTGGAAGAAGTTGAAGTTTATGCGAAAGAGTAAGAAACAAAATTAAACGAAAGGAATTCTGAGAAATTCTGAACGAACCAGTTACAACGCGTGGAGACAAGCCAGCCTTTTTTTTTCTCCAGCCTCGAAGAAATCTAAAGATTCTTACACACATGGAAATATTCAAAGAATTAAATGTCAGCAGATAGAACATGATTCAGTGCGGAAATGAAGCAGGAAAAATCCTAGACTAAACGACTCACGATTTAAGTAAAGAGACAAATTTCTTTTCAAATGAATCACGGATTTCATGGAAACTCAAACATCATTAAAAACTCAAGATAAAAATGACACAGAGTACAAGGCACTTCTATCTGTTTTCAGACAAAAATCAATTGAATTGAAAAACGAGTCGCGGTTCGTGACAAAAGAATGGTACTTTCAAATTCCTTTTAGAGTGTAATTTAGAATAAAACAAATTAAACAGATATATCGCGAAGAAATCGAAAAAATCTTTAAAGATTAATTATTACCTCGACAAAATAAATTCTAGAAACAGAATGCAAACATCAGTAGATAAAGATTTTCTTGCAATAAGAAATAAATTAAACAATTAATGCAAAAGAGAAGTGAAGAAAGAACGATGCGCGAGAATGCACCATCCAATTTGCAAGGCAATTTTCTTTTCGTAAATTACAGACGCAAAAGGAACGCAAAGATCGTTAAATAGAAGGTTAAGGGTATTGAGTATCGGTAGACAGGGGATGATTCAAAGCAAAAGGCAATCTCACCACTGGAAATTAAACTATGGGCCACGAGAATGGCATCGCGTTTCTCTTTCGACCGACGCCAGAAGACTATCGATCATGACGGATCTGTAGCAAGTTACGAGGATCCCTGAACGGGAGAGAGCACCCCATATAATCCCACACCCCTATGGGTAACAATGCAACGCCTCCGCGTCCCTAAATTGTCGAGTTCCCAAGATGCATTTCGTCATACGTTCTCGACCCTCGGGCGATACATCGCATTTTTTTGGTATGTGTGTGTGTGTGTGTGTGTGTGTGTGTGTGTGTGTGTGTTTCTTCCCCCCTCCCCACCCTTTATTTTCGACACATACACGCACATACACGCGCGCACACACACGGTACACAGCGAACCGAAAGAAATGCAATAATTTCGCGATCGTCATTTAGTCGGCTAATGAGGACGTTCGATCATTTATAAATACATTTCGCGTATCATCGTCGCGTATCTCGTGCGAGATTGAAAATTAACGATCACTGATTTGAATAAATGAAAAATTATGAAGATTCAGAAGCGATATAACAGAGAAAATTGTTGTGACCGATTGA